GAGGGGAAGCCTCGCCCTGGAGGTCGGCAGGATGGCTGGAGCAGAGAGCTCCCTTCCCTCCATGCTCCCTTCCTGGAGACGGGAGTTGCTCTCTAGGCGTAGAGCGTTTCTCCCGGTGGTTTGTTTCCCGGGTTGCTAGAGCAGAAGGGAGCGTAGAGGACTGAGGGTTTCGGCTTAACGGAGCTGGCACCGATCCCTTCGTTTTTCCTGTCTCTGTTTAAATACTCCTCCTCTGGAAATCGTGAAAGAAGAGATTATCTTGGAGAAAATCTTTCCTATGTTAGTCAATACTGATTTCATGGCCCGTAATAAATGTATCAAGAATCTGTATAACTAAAGATCAGGAATAGTGATTTTGGTCTATAATTTTTTTCAAGTTTTTTATTAATTTTACAATATTATATTTACATATTTGAAAAGTAGCGTGGTGGCTGAGCACGGTAGTTCCATTACATTTGAATATCATCAGTACAAATCTCAAAGTATTACAACAACTAATTCCCTCTCTTTCCCCCATAATATCTACTGTCATATTCGAACCAATACATTTCTTATTCTACCAATCAAACAAAAAGTACCTTTCTAATATTCATCAATAATCTTCAGTATATACATATCTTAATTAATTTGACATTCCACCTTTTAGACAATAACCTAGTAAGTTTTTCTTAACTTTAATTTCCCATTGATATTTAAATTTAACGTTTAAACTTCATCATTTCTATATTTTAAATGATCCCAATTTCTAAGTCTCGTATCTCACATTTGGGGCTAATAATTTTTTTTCTTTTCTTCCTTCTACTTCCTTTCTTTCTTCCTTTCCAGAAAGATAAAAAAAAATAAAAAGAAACCATCATTTGTGCCACAAACCCATATACAAATTTAATTGTTAGTATTTATAGTTCTAAGTTTTACTTAACCTTTGTCTCAACTCAACAATATCTTAAATTCAAATCTTAGTTACTTGTAAACATTCAAACTTTTAGCCAATCAGTAACCTGATGGTTAATTTTTCCTTAATATTTTAATTTAACATTTAATATTTATTTTTTCCAGATTTTTAATTAAACACAATTCTTTTATCACAATTCCTCATACATTCTAATATTTAAAATACACACCTTGTATATAAATTCTACCATCTATCTTACCAATCTAATAAGACAGTATAATATTCTTATTTCAATATATTTCTATATTTTATGTGGCCAAAATTTTCTTTATCTCAAGTCGTTACAATATCTTGTGTTCAGAATACATATTCTATCCATTTAGATATATTCTATTTTAGATCTCATGTATAGATCAAAACTCCAATCTTTTTCAATCTTATTCTAGCTTTTTTTCTCTGCCAGGTCATTTTTTGTATCTTTGCCTTTAAATCATCAAAAAAATCTCCTTGTATTGTTGTGGCTATTGTTTGGTGATGATAAGAGCTGTCCAGTTGATGTTTTCTTAAGAGGACTAATTGATTTAGCTGGTAGTCTCTTTGTTTTTCCAGTTCGATGCAGTTGTCCCAAAGTATTTATCTTAGTGAGTCTTATCTGTATTTTTTTCTTTTGGAATTTCCTCTGCCTTATAAAGTATCTCATAATAATCTTTAATAATTTTTTTAATTGTATCATTTTGAAACTGTAAGTCACCTTTGGGATCTTGCAGCTTGTTTATCAATTTTTTCTCTTTTTCTTTTTTCAGTCTATATGCTAACCATCTCCCTGGCTTGTTGGCATTTTCAAAGAAGTTCTGTTTAGCCCTTTTAATCTGTTGAGCCATTATTTCCATCTCGGCTAAATTTATGTTTTATTATCTCCATTTGTTTCTTAAGTATTTTCTTTTGTGGATCTATTTGTAATTCTGATTCTAACTTTCTGAATTCTTCCTTCAACTGTAGTTGTTTCTTTTCTTTATAGCCAACCCTCTGAAATATGCTTTAGCCATATCCCACACATTTTGAAGTGATGTTTCTTCTTTCTTGTTTATTTTGAAGAAAAAATCCATTTCCTTTGTCGCTAGTTGTAAAAATTATTTTTCTTTCAATATAGATTTATTCAAGGATCATCTTAATTTTTTCTTAGTTCCTCTCCAAATCATCTTTATTGGGTTATGATCTGCCCAAACATTAGTTTCTATCTCAATTTCTTGTATCATCGTATTAAGTTCCAAAGATGTCCATATCATATCAATTCTAGACCAGGGCTTTTCAACCAGTGGTATGGATACCACCTGTGGTACATTGGCACCTGGCAGATGGTACGCGACCATCCTAGAAAAGTGGTAGCGGGGGAGGGGAATGAGCTGAACTGGTGGCAGCACCACACAAGCCTGAGTGAGAGACGGTTGGAGCTGCAGGGCTGTCAGGGCTCAGCGGAAGCGCCAGGATCAGTGCCGCTTTCCAGCTGATCGGCGCTTCTTCGGGGCTGTCAGGGCTCAGTGGAAGCGCCAGGATCAGCACCAGGCTCCAGCTGGAGCTCAGCGCTGATCCTGGCGCTTCTGCTGAGCCCAGAAGAAGCGCCGATCAGCTGGAATGTTGCAGCATCTCCAGGGTCTTGTGATTTACATTCAGATGCTTGGCAACTGATTCATATTTATGACGGTCACAGTGTCCCAGGGTCATGTGAAGTGACCAAAACCTGCTGCAACCACCCAGCAGATGGGGGGAATAAAAACCA